CTAATTGCGCTGGAGAAGGGTGTGGTTGAACAGGAGGAGATATTGGAGAAGTTCCCTCTGAGGATTCATATCGGTTTGTTGAAGATTCCGAGGCTCCAGGGTATACAAATTCGTCCTCTTCTTCTGCATTATCTGGGCTGCTTTCACCGTTATAAACGAATCGATCCGACGAAGTCTCTGCCGTCAAGTGCGTGTCGGAAAAGCCAGACCTAAAAGAAATTAATGCCTGGTGAACAAAGTAAATTTGTTTATAAACCTACTCTTCGATCGTCCCGAGGTGAGGTCGTGAATTGTTCATTAGAATGTCACTCAGGATTTGGCGCGCGCACGCGTCTGAGCACAAATCAATTCCCCACGCTCAATGAACGGATCATATTTTTTGTAGCTAATACTTAGGCGTGTTAAGCTCTATACATAATACGAAACCCTTCCTCTCTTCTACCCATAACGTCTAAAACTTCGGGTTTTCCTGACCCACGGCGCATGTTGAAACATGTTGAAGAGCCAGCGAAGAGTCGACCTACAGAAGTGAGATATCAGAATCATGCAACAACTGAATAAGTACATACCTTTCTCCTTTCCTGTTCTGTTACAAACGACCACGGATGTCACTTTATCGCCATTTCCACTGTCAACTGAGTCTTTCTCCCATAGTGGGTTAAGCCTTGCAGCCCAAAAATCAACTGTAGTCCAATCAACAACACCACCCCCTATTCCTTCATTCTCATATCCATAGACTTCAGAATCCAACCATGCATTTAAAAAGATAAGTATTTCGACGTCTTGTTCCAGCACATAGTCCGCAATCTCATGTGGAGGTCCTCTCATTTGCCAATCTGCTGGAGGATGGGCATTAAGGTCCATGCATATACCGAGGCTAAGCCTCCCGATAGGTGGAGGAAGTTGGAAAGTCTGGAAGCCGACACCTGCGGAATCGTAAACGGTATATGAAGTATGCCTCCATACTAGATGGTTCTAACCTGCCTTTGCCCAGCTTCTATCGGTTGGGAAAAGATTTATTTTCCGGTGATTACCTATCCATTCTCCGCTCGGACCATATAGAACAGCGCTATTGGCACCTATATCTCGATTCCTGGTCTCGTCTGAATCTACGAGTCGCTCTGGATAACCAGCAACTACATAACACTGGAGCCGCTGGGCTATATCTGCACACATTTGAGACGTCGGGCCTGTCCTTGGATATTCGAGGTATGGTAATATTTCCGTCGAGTCCTCGAAAACATATCCTATTCCAGTGAATTTTGTGTCAAGGAAATAAAGACTCTGAGAATTACCAGACAGTATCATCTCCGGAAAACACACCAGGTCCACGGACCTAGGCTTGATGCTGTCGTCAAAGTGAACAACGTTGTTAGAGTACTGGATGAAGAAAACAGACCCAGAGCAAATTTCCTTTGCTCTTATTAGATTTGCTTCGACCTGACCAAACTTTGGTTTCTTATTAGTCAGATTTCAAGTGAGAATGAAGGAATTTAGAGACCTTTGGAGAGAACTGCACAACAGCGATACGTGGTCCATTTTTGGGGTACATCGAGGCAAGAAGGAAGATATACTTCCATTCATAATAATTTGCATTCACTCGAGTTTTTTATACATGGAGAGAATCAACTTGAATAGAAAGGCCTGCCAGGTAGCGTCAGTCTAATTATAAGCTTGCTTGCCGAGGTTGAGTCTGTCTACAGGAAACCAGCACCAGACGATTCAGTTCATAAATTGAGAAGTTTTTAAACGTTGAGAAAGATTCAAAAAGTAAGTACATGGTATATGTCATTGTGTGTAACTGTTGAGATGATGACTCGAGTCATGATATTTCGTTCAAGTCCTTCACGCTTATTTAGATTTTCCCAACCTCTTCCAAATTTCCTTCACCATCACACATTGCGATTCATGTCTGCACACCGTCCCCCTCCCGGCCCAGTCAAATTTTCTTCACGTCTCGAAACAGGTCGGGCTTTAGCTGAAGATGTCTGGTCTATCTTCAAGTCTGTACTCAATATCTATTTCTCTACTTATCATATTTGCTAAATCCTCGATAGCGTCGCCAACCTTCCTGCAGATTGTATAAACCTCGGACAAGGATATATGAACTTTCTACCGCCAGAATGGGTTAGGACAGCGGCCGAAGAGGCTCTGAAGGTTGTAGCTACCAATCATTACTCCCATCCAAAAGGCCGCTTGCGTCTTCGTGAAGCGATCAAGAAAGCCTACAGTCCTCAGCTCAATCGCGATCTGGATGTCGAGAAAGAAATTCTTGTAACGAGTGGTGCCAATGAAGGTATGATGGAACCACAGATTTCGTAGATTACATCTGATATACTGTAACTTCCTAGGACAATACTCTGTATTCACTGCATTCTTGGACAAAGACGACGAAGTTATCATGTTCGAGCCTTTCTTTGATCAGTATTTGCCCTCCGTCACATTTAATGACGGGAAACCCGTCTACGTTCCCCTTCGCCCGCCGGCGAATGCGACCGGGAAATTCTCGAGTGACGACTGGAAGATTAACCCAGAGGAACTGAGGTCATTAGAATCGCGTTTATTTGGTTTGATCTTTTCCTGATAGAGATTCCCTAGAGCTGCGATCACACCGCGAACCAAGATGATCATTGTAAACACACCACACAATCCCGTAGGGAAGGTGTTTACAAGAGCAGAGCTGGAGTTAATCGCTGATTTGGCTAAAGAATTCAATCTGTTGGTGATGGCCGACGAAGTTGTTCGTGCAATCTATACCTCCCAGTCTCTTCACAAATGAATGTGCTGTTCTCTAGTATGACAGGCTCGTGTTCGACGGGAAAGAACATGTCCGGATTGCAAACCTACCTGGAATGTGGGAGCGTACAGTGACAGTTGGATCTGCCGGAAGTGCGCCTTGGGTATCTGTCTCTTTGTCTATGGCTGACAACTCACAGAGGGCTTCGCTGCAACCGGTTGGAGAGTCGGCTGGCTCATTGGGCCTGAGCATATCATCAGGCCAACTCTAGCTGCCACCACACGTATTGTTTTCTGTTCAAACTCTCCACTACAAGAAGCCGCAGCTGTCGGTCTCGAAGAAGCTGAAGAAAGAGGATTTTTCAAAAAACAGCTTGAAGAGTACACCGAGAGACGTCAAGTCTTGACGGATTGTTTCGATGATCTAGGAATTCCTTACACTAACCCAGAAGGAAGCTACTTTATTCTTTTGGTTAGTTTTGACGTTCAACTCTTTTTGTGTGTACGGATATTAACGTTATTTCTCTAGGACATTTCAAAAGTTAAATTCCCGGAAGACTACCCTTTTCCTGAGAGTGTTCTCGGGCGAGGACGCGATTTCAAGTTCGTATTTTTGTCTTGCCCCCTTTTACCATCATTCATTCTCCCTTCAGAGCCTGCTGGTTTATCGCTATCGAAGTCGGTGTTTCCTCTATTCCTGTCAGCGAGGTAAGCTTGGTTCTATTCAAATTTACTAGCAAATTCTTAATTTCTACGCATTCAGTTCTACTGTATCGAGCACGCCAACATTGGAGAAGTGTATGGTCGCTTTGCATTCTGCAAAGATGTTGATACTCTCAAACGTGCTGCCGAGCGTTTCAAGAAGCTCAAACAGTACATTGTCTAGAATGTTAGATGCGGGCCAGACAAAATTATTGTTTACCTTCAATCCAAGGCGACATATTCAGCTTTGGCCAGATACAAAACTATTGTTACTATTTGCGATACATACAGATAGAGATTTATGAATATGTTTTACATACCTACCAATAAGTTTCAATAAAGAAGACTGTATTTTACATGTACATATCACTCTGCAATCTTCAAGTTAGTATGGAGAATTCAATCAAGAATCAGACGTACTGCGCCAGGGGGCATAAATTCGTCATTGTCTGGGTCTCCTTCTCCAGGCAAATTGGGTCTTCTAGGCCCCAAGTTGCCATGAAACGGTCCAATACCACCCGTACCAAAGCCAGGCCCAACAGGATCGAAGCGTGCACCGGGAGGTGCACCCATGGGAGGAAGATAGCCATCTCCGCCCCAGGGACCACGTCCGGGCATACCTCCAATACCTCCAAGTCCGCCGGGTCCTCGTCTGCCGAAAATCGGATGATCAGGTCCGACGAACATTCCATCCCCACCAGAAGGCGAAAACAGCGGAGGGGGTTGAAAAGAGCCTCCGGGAGCAGGATCACGGTCCCGACGGCCAATTTCTAGTGGGTTTCGCGAAGGCATTCGCAAAGGAAACTCGTCATCAGGATTATACCTAGGAATTGTCGGAGGTGTTCTAACAGTGGCTGAGCCTTGTTCGAAATTAGGGGGATTGGTTGTGGTGACGTCAACTTCTTCTGTATATCCATCCTTTCTCAATCCAGGGACAAGTTTCTGGATAATCTTGAGTTTGAACTGGGATACAAAATCTGTTACTCGATTGGAAGAGATGTAGCAATGCACCAATGGTGGCGCCGCAGGTGCTTCTGCGCTGTAGGGAAATGAAGATGGCGAGGTAAAATCGTTGGTTGAGATGTCTAGAGAGGTGGCTTTGTCGTTCTAGACAAGAAAATTAGAATCAAAATTTGGGATCGTGATAGTGGCATACCTCCACAGCAATCGCGTTGAACATCGTTCTGGATCCAAGCTTGGATATCTTGACCACAAACTCCATACTACTCTGTTCATGTCGATATCTGAGAGTATAGCTGCCTGGACCATGTTTGTTCCACTCATCGGGCAACGTATTTGCCGATGATTGGATAGTCGAAGAAGAATCGTCCACAGCAATTAGTCGAAAAGCCACAGATGTTAGAATGGCATGTGAGAGAAGCGCGAGCGCATCTTGGGGGGTTTCGATTGATTTTGAAGAAGGGAGCAGAGTCGGAATCAGAGAAATCAAAGCTGAAGCGTCAAGGATGCTGGTCATTTTGGGAGATGGATTGAAAGAAGCACAGCGCCAGAATGTGACTGATGTGTTACAAAGAAATAAAAATACCATCGAAATCGCAATAAACCGACGACGGGGATCGAACCCGCAACTTCAGCCTAACTAAATGAGATGATAGGAAAGCTACGCGCTACCATTGCGCCACGCCGGCTTGGACAGGGGTTGGGATATTCAAAATTTATTGAGAGTATTCCTGATGACAGATGGATAATATCATATGTTTAGACGCGCGACATTTACACCTTAATGTCTACGTCTGCCTTCACCCCCTCACTAGTAGGCTCGGTATTCGAGCGAAAACCCCTGGCCTCAAATTCTTCTACACAATCGCAATCCCGCTTCTCCAACTCTATTAACTCCAAAACCGGCTTTCCACCTGTACAGCATCGATCCCAGAAGAATAGTGCTTTTTTAAAGAACAGAGACGAGAGTAGACGCAAACCGGAGCTTTCTACAGAGAGGACCACAGATGTTCCTCATGTTGCTAGTGCTAGTGCCACTGCTGGTCCTGGACCGAGAACCATGCAAAACCACGCAAAAGATGGTTGGATGTCGCAGATAAGCGCAGAGAATGAAGCAAGGGTGCAGGCCATGACTGAGGAAGAAAGGGATGCTGAAAGGCGGCAAATTCTGGAAAGATTTGGGCCCGGTGTTGGTGATATCTTGCGGCGAGCAAGAGAGAAAAGGGAGGCAGGCAACACGTTTGCATTGGAAGAAGGTACCAATTAGCGTTATCCTTTCTACATCTCATACTTACTTTCTACAGTTCCACTTACTTCAGAAGAACCATTACCTTCGCCTTCACCTCTAAGTAAGTCGTCATCAATAACCTGAACTACGCGTTGATTCTTTTCGGTAGATCCTGCTTCTCGCTCCTCGTCTTTATCAGGTACACGTCCGAACAGCCCTAACCGAGCTTCACGCAAGCTTCGATTTGCAGAACTTGCTCCAGATCAGGTTCATGTCTACCCATCTGCTCCATCCTCGCCGAAAAAACAGTTATTAGCTTTGCCCCCACCAGACCCGAATGGAGACGCTGTATCGCTGGGAACTTTCAAAGGTCAACTAAAACCACCGGTTCCCCCCCTAGTCAATGACGGAGAATATGAAGAAGAAGGCACGCCGGAATATATACGAAAGAAATATTTTCCATCTGCGCCGGCAGATAATCCTGATCTTGCGTGGATGTCTTCCACTCTGGCACCACTTCCCGACCAAATTTCAGATCTTCGGTTTGATCTCACCGGGAAACCTATTCCTTCGTCAAAAATACTTTCTCTTCCTACTCATCTGGGACTGCATCACCATGCCGAAGGAACGCGAGCAGGATACACATTAGATGATATATTCCTTCTAACGAGGTCGACTGTCAGGGCTCAGAGAGCAGCAATGTTTGACGTCCTCGTTGGTGTAGTACGATGGTTGAGGGCGGACGAGGAAGATGCCGAATTAAATGTTGCGAGGAAGACATTACTCTCTCAATCGGATTCAGAATCGTCATCGCAAACAACTCAACCTCCTCCGATATTGAAACGGATACTTTTCGTGGGACTTGAAGCCCTCCCAGAACGTGGAGTTGTTGGTGTAAAAGCAATGGATCTCGTTTGGGAGTGTATAGTAGGCCACCTGAATAGACTAGAGGATTCAGAGTTTGAGTTTGAGTTGGGCGTTGGGATGGAAGAGGAAATGGATGATCCAGATCTATTAACATCTCTTCCTCTTACCGACGTGCTACCGCAGTTCTTAAACCTACTCCTCAGCGATCTTGGACAAGACTCTCCAACTCCGACGCAGCAACAAATCCTGTCCATCCTGACCCGCGTTGCACAGTACTCGAATACTTTTGCCGATTCAGTCGTCAAAGAAAAAGGTTTGATTGAAGGTTTGTTAAAAGTCTTCATCATCCCTCTTCCTTCCTCTACCACCACCGCATCCAATCCGTCACTCTCCGCTATCCGTCTCCTCATCATTCTAGCTAGTGCATCGAGGACAAACGCAGAAGCTCTATCTTCAAGGATCGGTGCAGGCGACATCCTACTGCGTTTTGTGGTTTCCAGTCACTATGACTCAGCTGTTATCGTAGAGATCATGCACTTTTACACTGTTCTGGCACGATACGGGTTGTATTCGAGTGTAGCGGCTGATGCGAAAGAGGTATGGTGGAAATTTGGACTAGAACTCACTACTTCCGCTTCCATGAGCAATAACATTCCGGACTCGCGCCTTATTCGAGCCTACGTTGGTCTCCTCGAATCGTGGATCGTTTGTGCCATAGATCCTCACCGCACGACACCTGACCACCAGGTGCTCTGGAGTCAGGTCAAGGGTTGGGAATGGGGCGCGGGTTTGACAAGTCTTTGGGATAAATTCACTTGCAATCACTTGGACTCGGTGGATTACCTATCTACCTCTGCATCCCTCTGGCGTTCTCTTGCCGCTTACCTTGAGGGCGCCAAAGTGAACGGAGCTAGGGGTGGAGAAGATGAGAGGGCCGAAGTTTGTTTGGTTTTGAAACCGCTTTTTGATACCAGGGCATTTCAAAAACTGAAAGCATTGGTCGAGGACCTTCAACAAAAGTTGAAGACTTTGACTGACGTAGAAGCGGATACAATCTTGGCTAATAAAGAAATTGCATCCGGTACAACCATTCTGTTCTCAGCCATTCGCCTATGGCTAGGATGTTCTGGTCCCATTGGAAGCCCACCGCCGTTTGAATTGCCATTTACTGATATATCACGCCTGTGCGCTAGCATAACCGGACATGGGCTCTGGGACCGTAAAACTCATCCCCTCCTTCTACGCCCTCTCAGTACCCTTCTTGTTTTGTTCCTCCGTCTTTCCCCGCACCTACCTGATAGTCATCCAGATCTGTGGCTGGCTCAGGCATTCGGAGTCTCGCATATCTTACAACGTGGTGATGAAGAGTATATGTCAAAAATCCTTAATCAGATTCTTGGTACAGTTACACCGGATTGGGCCGCACAGCGAGGTGGTGTCGGTGCCCCTAGCCCTGTCTGGGAGCAGAAAGGTGGTCTCAAAGGTGTCTTAGGTCCCTTTCTCAATTACGAAGTCAACCCCCAAAGGGCTGCGTATGCCTACATTGCTCCGCTGTGCTCAAGTCCAATATCGATTAGTATGTGCACAACACTGCGAGTGCCTTCTGCTTCTTCTCCGACGAGACGTACCGCAAATGCAGAATGGCGTCCGTTGGGGCTTCCACTCCATTCCGACTGGACGCTTTCACCCATCAATCATCTATTGCGTTCTGGAAGCGAGCATTCGATTTTCCAACAACACGGGGCCTTGCCGGATGCGTGGGATGCTTCAGAGACAGAGGTGGTGAGAGCGACGCTGGCATTAACCAGGGTAGAGTTGGAGGTGACGAGGAGATTTGCTCCGTCAATCCTCGGAACGGTCGGGTTGAAGAAGGAAGATGTAGTGCTTGCATGCATGAAGGTGTTCATGCTAGAACATGGTGTTGGGACTGGCAACGCGAAGGTTCAACCGGATGGGGAGAGATCTTTGCAAGAAGTGTTCAGAGATGAAGTTGTTGGACGACAAATGCTTGACTTGATTGACTCATACACTATAAAGGCTTCACCAACCTCGTCCTCTCATCCAGAGCCACCGCCTTCTCCGTCATCATCTCAAGCACCCCTCGAAGCAGCTTCATTTCACTTCCTTGGAACATCCGTCCCCTTCTATCAATTCTACACCGACTTTGTTTCACTCTACGATTCCATATCCTTCTCGCAACCTCTTTTTTCCAGGCTTCTTATTCCCCCCACGTCAATGCTTTATGCCTCTGACTACCGGAAGCTTCTATGGAATGACTACGGCCACGTTTTACGAGGAATCAGAATCGAAGTAGGTGATGTTATCACAGGTAATGGTGGGACAGAAGAGTGGATGTACCCAGTAGAGACGGAACCCGAAGTCTTAGGTGCTTATCTTCGAGCGCTCGTCAAGTACGGTAGCTCGGGAGGGTTACAGGGATTCACGAGGTTCTTAGCTGTCCATCATATCGCCGCAAATATCTGGCCAGGTTATCGTACGGATGGTGATCTAGTAGAGGGAGTAGGTGCGGATGACGAACGGCGAAGCAAACTTTTGAGGGCAGTCATAGACCAGGCGAGCCCTGATGTTGTCCGGGAGGTGCTGAAATATCGGCAGTCGTCGGGTGGAGTTTTGCTTCCTCCCAATTGTTTCGACAACATAGACGAACCCACCAAAAACCGTAGATGCACATTCATCTCTGAATGGGGCGGCGAGGGTTCTTTTGAAAGGGTAAAGAAAGTATTTGAGGAATAAGACTTTTCAGCACGCTTCTGCCCCCCGAAAGGGGTCGCTCGTTCTACCGGTTCATGGGTCCAACAATATCGTAGATTTTCTGTAAATATATTCTCATATGCGTATAAGCAGAAATAATGTCCTGAGCATAAACGAAGTTAGTTTCCAATTCTTGTTTATGAAGCTGTATCCCCCTTCCTGTACTCAGAACGCGTATTCCGGCGCAAAGAAACCTAAATCGGAGTTGTCAGTCCTCGGGTTTGTAGCGACAACGTCGGGGAGAGAGTCGTCCGAGGTCAGGTCGTCCCGAGAAAAATTGTAACTGTAGATTTCCGCTCCATCGGGGTTCGAGGATGGTGTGCCACCGATAAAGGCGATAGTCGGCGTTTGATCCTGCGCTCCGTTTACACTGGCCAAGATCTCGATACGGAAGAATTGGTACAGCTGGCTCTCGTTGTCGAGGACGCTGCAATCTGAAGCGTAGAACTCAGTGGTTACATATTCTGATAGAACCAGTCAAAAGAGGGAGTAAGAACAAGACAAAATTCTGACCGCCTAGCTGAGATGCAGTCACGCAAAGGCCGCTAGTTACATCTTGGAGTTGTCCATAAAGGAATGTGGTCCCGAATTCGCTGTAAATCTGTTCCCACCCCATGAACTTGGAATTACATGCATTGAAAGAAAACTGGGGGTGCAATAATAGTAAGTCAAAGGCCATTTCTTGCAGGGCATACATACTTGTGCATTTTCTGTATTGAATATCTTCAGGAGCCGAGCTTCCACTCCATTTACGACATAGTTTGGCCCACCGAAGGTGACACCGGTACGAGTAATATCCTCGTTGTCAGGCATAACTAGCTG